TATGCCAGAATTAAAGGTGGCTGTAATTCTCAGCAAAGCCACTTGTTGCTCTGTTATCACTTTACCTGCTTTCTGTGCTCACAGCAGACCTTTGTCATAGTTTGTTTGCAAAGAAGGGGGAGATTTTTTTTTTTTTTTAACTTGCTGGGCTTTTATTCACTAGTCAAACTCCATACAGTTGGAGCACTGTATTTTGCAGAGTATCCTGCAAAGAAATTGCGCCCAGAGGTGCTTGACAAAGCTACAGGGTCAAGAGTTGCTAAATCTAGTTGAGCAGTGGGAAAAAGAATGCATTTGCAAATCATTTATTTCAATGATGCTTCCCCTGGTTGGGCAAACAATCTCAAATTATCCTTTGGAATCAACTTTGAAAACAAGAATAGCAATTTGCAGACTGGATCTAGGGCTGACCGAAAGAATTTTATTACATGAAAGATGCTGGGGTTCTAGAATTTGGTTTCCTTCCTCACTGGAACAAAAGAGAGCCCTTTTGAGATTTTTCTTGAAAAAACCATAATACCCCCACAATTGCCAAGTCACATGGCAAAGGGGAGCCCTAAATCCAACTTTCTCATCTGCAAGGACTTGAACTGGGGTCTTCTATATCCCCCATACGAATCCTAACCATTGGGCGACAGCATCAAGGTCACTTAAGCTTTCCCATTGGAGCGATTTCTCTTTGTATAAATAATTACATATCCACTAGGCCAGAGCAAAGGACACGGACTCTAGGCCAGTGGTGAGTTAGAGCACTCACCTGGGATGACAAAATGTCAACCCCGCATGCACACACTTGGCTTTCTCTGTGCGCAGAGCATGGCTATTGGATCCACAGACAAGATTCATCTGTGGTGTTTGGCTGCTGTCACTGTAGTCAAGTGCTCTCCTCAGAGAATTTGATGCTTGGTTACTGCTAAACAGTGGGGACTCAAAGCTGCAAGACCTTGCTAGTGGGGAATCGAACCTGGGACCCCTGGAGCTTCGTGCAAGAGACTCTACTGCAGGAGCTAAAAGTCAGCTGACTCTCAGCTAAGGCTGTAGAGAAGACTCATTTTCTCTGTGCCACCAGATGAGACAATGCACCACACCCAGAAGGTGCGTGGGCTACACTAGCAGACAGGGGCAGCCTGTGCGTATAGGCCAACTCGGCCGTCCTTTAGGGTGCCGCGTTAAAGGGGGTGCCCGATGATGACGTCACGCCATTGAGGGCTGTGGAGGCAGGGGCGCCGCTCGCGCCTTCCACCTGGGGCACTCCTGCTAGCAGACAACTCTATGAACCAGAGAATCCCATGCCAGGACGTGGGATTTTCTTTCTGCTTTCAATTGTAAAGCCGGGCATCATTCCTTTCATTTTCTTTTGCAGCAGACTGAGCGGTAGAGCCCGAACTGAACGGTCAGTGCAATTTTAGCCAGCAGCGGAAAGCAGGCTTGTTTGAATATCCAGAAAGAGGGTGAGAGAGGGTCTGAACAAATTCCTGGAGCATCTGAGGATGTGGGACCTGGGAATTCTTTTCCCTAGTGGGCAGGAGGAAGAATGTTTCCAAAGGGGAGTGCTGGTGGTGTTATTAATGGGACACTTTGAAATGGTTTTGCAACAATCACGTGTGTCCTTCAAACAACATTTTGAAGCTCGTCTTTATGGATTTCCTTAGCGGGGCGCCAGCATCCTTTTTGGGGTAGGTTGTCCACTGAGTAGGAGGGATCTCTTCTAATGACTGATTAGCATCAGGAACAAGTCTGCTATCGAGGGTTACTTTAGCGGAGTGATTGTTGCTTTTCCGCAGACCCAGCCCCCATCACTGGGAAATCCCAGAGACCCAGCACCAGTACCAGGAAATGCAGTACAGTTGCTGCTGTGCTCTCCTGATACAGATGCACAGTTTCTGGCTTTTCCAGTTCACATGTGCAATGAGCAGGCCCACCGATGGGGGGAGGAGCAAAGGGGGCAGATGCCTCGGGGCCCAGTGGTTCAAAGGGGCTCCTGGCCATCACTGCTGTTGCTACTGGGCCCTTTAAATTGCTGCTGGAGCACTGTGCCATGTGCTTGCACATGGTGGGGAGGGAGGGACCATACTCCAGGTGGTACAGATGGAGGGTTGGCAGGCTGACTGCCTCCAGCCTCTCACCTTCTGGGAGCATGACGCCGCACTCCCCCAGCATACACACACACAGACACCTTGCTGCTGCTGTTGCCTCTGCAACTAGAGGTACATGGCCAAGGTCAAGGGCGCTATTTCGAGAGAGTGAGGAGCAGCAGTCGGGCACTCCAGCATGTGGGGAGTTTTTTATCCCATTCCCCGGATTAACAGGGAGTGAGGGCAAAAGTCCTTGTATTCCGTGCATGCCTCACACCTGACATGCACAGAATGCAAGTATCCTCCTTCCCCCCCCCACACACCCTCCTGAAATGGTGCCCTGGGCCTCCTACTCTTTAAGGACCACCACAGACCTCCCTGCTTTTTGCTGCAAGTGCAAGGCACCTGTTTTTGTCCCTTGCCTTCTCTACCAAAACACACAATACCATGTATTACAACAACAACGAAACAGCTACCAAAACAAGACACTCCACTTCACGCACGTTGCAGAAAGGTAGTCACATGTCTTAATGCGTGGCAGGAA